AATACGCAGCATCCGAACGTGTTCGGATTACGTACACATAAGAGTAGTGTAACAACCTTAAAGTTCTGAAATTTAATAAAATCCAAGTAAATAAGGAGAGGTCTGAGTTCGAGATCATTAATCTTCGCAGGGAGCATCCGATACGCATCAACGGCCACACTCCGGCGGCGCCGGAGGAAACCGAGCATAATCAAAACAGTAGTCATATATAAGATGCTTTGCTCTAACCCAAATTAACTGGTGAAGCTGATGCACAGTGAGCTTCTGCATCACCGGCGCCTTCCACCAGTATCTCCCTTCCTTTCCCCACTCACTTTCCCCGCACCGCCTCACCTCGTCGTCTACGGCAGCTTCCACGTCGATCTCGCATCCGTCGATCGTAAGCGCGCGGTAGGTGACGATGAAGGGGGAATGAGACCAGTTCGTCTTCACTCGGCCGCCTTGTGTCGCCCAGCCATCGCCTTTCCAAAGCGAGTTGTAAACCCCCATGGATTGATATCCCGGAAAGGCGACACCTTTCGCCTCTTGATTAAGGAAAACACGGATCGGCGTCTCGTCGACGAGGAAGACCACCAGTTTCTGGTTCCATAGGATTGAGTAAGAGTGGAAATCGGCGGTGGGGTTGAACCAAAGATCTATCCTCTGTTCTCGGTTTCCTATTCCGTTCACGTAGATGTTTGTTTGAACCAGGTAAGGCTCTCCCGTCGTGTTTCCGAGGAACTTGTATTATTTTCATTTTAAATTTAAATTATAATGATGTATTTTATATCAAAATATTTTAATTTTTTTATTAAAAATATAATTTGATAATCTTGCTCTTACTCATCGTTCTCATAATTCATTCCTTCCATAAATCTCGGAAGAAAGATAATTTTTTTGTGTTTTTGTAATATTAATTTTTTAATTTTCTATGTATATTACATTTAAAAAATGATAAGCAATTAATTTTAAAATATGTGATTTAAGTTTATAATTTAAGAAAATAATTATTTTATTTAATCAATAGATCATGAATCCTTTTCTTTTCATACTTTCCATTAAGCAACAATCCTAACTAAAAAGATCTCTTGTGCTCTCAAAATATCCAATAGAAACTTTCCTATGTCATTTGTTGATGTGAGGGAAGAAGTGATGTCCTATGTCATTTGTTCATGTGAGGAAACAATCCAGTAAACAACAATCCTAACTTATTTTGTAGGTGTTAGATTTGCCCGATAAAAGTGGTGAATTAGTGCTTAGTATAAATTTTATACTATTTCTTATCTTTAAATTCAGTGAAAACATAATATTTTAGTTTATGTTGTGCATGAAATGCTGGAGAAAATGAGAAAAAATTCATCATAAGTGTTGAACCAGAGCCACAACACTCAACTACCAACACTACAACATCTTCAACGCCTAAGTGCCATACCAAGGAATCGCAGCGTTGAAGCCTCGGGAAAATATAAAATAATTCAACGCCCTAGTGAAGCCAAAGTTAGCATCGTAGCGCTCAATAGCATCAAAGTGTCATAAATATACACCACAGTATCTAAGTATCAGGAAATTCAGCATTGAAGTGCCACGCATCACAATGCCACATTGCCAAATGTACATTCAAGAGGCATCATGCTCAACTTTTTTGCAGCACCATGACAGAGTGGTTGACAAAAGATGGAGACACATCGACTTAGTCGAGAAACACAGTGGTTCAAGAATTAGACACATCGCATAAGTGCAATACCATATAGGAGCAAGCCCAACAATGCTGAGGTTTTTGTTTATCTTTTTTTGCTTCAAGCATCATGGCGTCTGAGGCCATTTTTACTCTTATATAAAAAAATTTTCAATTTTTTTGTTCTAGAGATTTGTCAATATTAATAGAGCCCTATAATTTTCATTGTAGCTCTTTAGTACCCCCTTAGAGTAAAGTTTAAGGGATGCTAATGAAATCCAAATACTTTCTTTAGATATCTTAACCTATCTTATGTAAGCAATCCTACTATTGGAGGAGGAAGGAGTGTGGAGAAGCTTAAGGGAGGCTAATGAAATCCAAATACATTGTATGCTTATAGTCAAATCTATAGACTTGAAGAGACGAATCCAACGAGCCCAATATTAATTAATTATGACATCATTAAGGCACATAAATGCTATAAAAATGCTCTACGATGGGGGTATAAATATGGGTCATCCGATGGAGCACTCCAAACCTACCCTTGATCTTCTCCATATTTACAGAATGTGCTACTCATAACAATTTATAAATAAACCCTCACTCTCTACATAAGGGAGACTTTTGGCAAAAGATTGGAGAGAGCTATGAGATATGAAGCATCCTAGAGCTCCATAAATGCACCATTATCTGCAAACTTCCGTCCAACCATCGTCGAACTTTCCACCTAGCCACCAACCGCCGCTTATTGGATTCATCTCTGGAGCTACTTGGTTCGAGTGATGGTGCTTGGGCGGAAGTCCGACAGAGTCAGGAGGAAGTCGGGCAGCAAATTTAGCAGCTCCACTATATGAAAATATCCTGTTATTGGCTGACCAAATCCACCGGTAATAATAGAAATACACTGAAATTTCCTTTTTCTGACAAATTTCCAATGAAAACTTCTTTGACGATAATTCACGCGTCGAAAAATGCAAACTGGAAAAAATTTTCCTCTCGAAACATTTCTGATGGCATTTTTGGTGAATTTATGGCGGAAAAATGAAGGTAAAACAGTGCCTTCTCTTTGATGGATCCAAACGCTTAATCCGACAAAAATACTAGCAGATAATCCACCATAGTAGTCCACTGCACTAATATCGACGGGTAATACTGGCGGAGTTTTCGCTGGAAGGTTCGATGTAAATGTGTGTCAAAAATGCTACTCCATTTTTGTTGTATCGTCTTGCTGATGGTGTTTCCAACAAATTTTTTGCTGAAAACCTGCATCATAAAAAAAAAAATAGCCTTCTTACTTTTGAAATGGATTTATACTATACAACCTCATACAAAAAGATCCAATACTATATATATTCAAACATCAACCTCCAATCAAGAACATCTTCAAATATTGAATATAAATATATAAATAATAATAAAAATAAGAAGAATATCATCAATGAATGTTTAATAATAAACAAGTATAGATGTCCAAAAAATAAATAAGTACATATATCCACAAACACATAATTTGTGGATCTGCATCTACTAGTCAAAATCAGTCTCCTCCTCTGTTGTGCTGTATTCTTCCCATTGAATCACTCCCTCATCTTTTGCATTTCCTCTAACAAACGAGTTTGATGCATCTGCATATACAGCTGCTGCATCTGCATCTACTAGTCAGCTTGTGCTTTCCAGACCTGCTCTAGCTCGACTATAAGGACAGCTACATATTGGCTATATCAAGACTCATGGGTATTTGCTAAGAAGCTGGAGAAACTAGATGTCTGCCCCTCGTATGCATAGGCTTACGAGACTAAATTGTATACTCTGTCGTGCTGCATTCCTCCTACTGCTTGCAACCAAGTACAATACTTAGAATATTATATTGATCCATCAGAAGAACCATCACCTGCTATAACCTAGCTCTCTCGAAGTCGTGTATACTCTTCTTAAGAAAGTTGATAAAAAATTTAAGTAATTTAGAAATGGTATAAAAATATTAAACTTATATACTTACATAAGCTCTCATCGCTCGCTCATCAACCCATTATTAGTCCTTATATCTCTTGTGGGTATGACTATGCAATTCAATAGGGGTCGGTTCTATACCTAGCATCTTTTTCTGTAATAACGTATATTAGTATTCATTTTAAAGTAAAATTTTAAAATCTTTTAAAATTCTTTACCAAATGTCATATGTGCTCAGTATGTGGAACAAAATCCTTAGTATTAAGAGAATTACCAATGCCCCCAACATTAGAAGCTTTGTTATATCTATATTAGTCCCTCCTCCTACTATACTCTAGGCTAACCCAAGAAATATTAAACTCAGCCCATATTTTAAGGGTTTTACAGGTCGGTTCTATACCTAGCATCTTTTTCAGTAATAACATATATTAGTATTCATTTTAAAGTAAAATTTTAAAATCTTTTAAAATTCTTTACCAAATGTCATATGTGCTCAGTATGTGGAACAAAATCCTTAGTATTAAGAGAATTATCAATGCCCCCAACATTAGAAGCTCTGTTATATCTATATTAGTCCCTCCTCCTACTATACTCTAGGCTAACCCAAGAAATATTAAACTCAGCCCATACACTATCACCAATCTAAAGTGGTCACTCACCTGACTTTTTAATGTCTATAAACATATATCGCATGTGAGTCGACCCACGCTTCTCAAAATTCTTTCTGATTTTATCATTGTATTGTGGTAGCCAATAAAAATCTTTCTATATTTAAAAATATACAATAGAGAATATATATTTTTGTTAGCTTATGTAAAAAAGATATAATACATAATATATATATACAATAACTAACCTCAAAGTCTCTAAACTACATATCTTGCACTTCTTTCAATACTTTCTTCCAAGAAACATAAGGAGCATCATACTTATTCCATATAATATCCCATATTTTATATGTCGGTTATTTTGATGGATGAAACATGAAAGAAATATGTTAGGTGCCAAAAAAATTTATTCAATTTTATTTGCATTTTAAAAATATAATTAGTGAATATGTGTCATCTTCAGGTTCAATCAACTTGCGACCCTCTATCATCTATTGTGTTACACATGGGGTGGAAGGTCCACCTTTAAAAGGTTGAAGGGGTGGTGGGGGATAGTATGCTGGAACATATAATGGATATGGATATGTAAGAGGGCCATCAGGAGAAGGTGGGGGTAGGTAATAAGGGTAGAAGGGAGAACTCTACGTGACGTTTCGTGAGTATAACTATGGGCTACTGGCTATAGGAGTAGGTAAAGGAGGGCTAAACTAACTATGGATAACATGCTTAGATGTCCAAGTTATGTCTAAGTTATTATCAAAAATATTTTTCTCTATATGCATCACATCTAAGTTATGTCTAATCAAGTTTGTTCCCTAATTTTACAAAGATAAATATCAAAAATATTTTTCTCTATATGCATCACGTCTAAGTTATGTCTAATCAAGTTTGTTCTCTAATTTTACAAAGATAAAAAAAATATTTTTTTTAGTTCAATTATGGTTAACACCATACCATGATAATTTGTAATCAACTAATATTGGAGAATCCACTATTATGGGCATGAACTTTACTCTTTAAAATATTTCTTCACTAGTTAATTTAGGAGGAGACTGAAATATCATCATTTTATTTTTAATAAAAATATCCTTATTTCACTTGAAAAGATGACCTGTAGGAAAGAACATGCGATGATAATCAAACCAAGTGTTCTTCCATCTATGCTTTAAAATGAATAACTTTGTATATTCTATATAATATGGATAAACTAACATGTCGGAAGTGTTCCAACCTGAGAGCATATCAAACGCAAGAAAGTAACAAATTATCCAAAGTAACACTACCCTTATAATGAAGTATTTTTGTTGCAAATATCATATGTAATTACTCCATATTCCCATAATAAATTTAAATCATCAATTAACGGTTATAAGAATACATCAGTCTTTATTTTTGGATTAAGTGGTCTTTGAATGATAAGCGCTAGAAATATGTAAGGAGTTGCCATACATAACTATGGAAAAATATTATATGGGGTGAGCATCATGGGCCAACATGAGTAAGGTGAAGCAGACTGGTTAAATGGAGTAAAACCATTTCCGTATAAACTTAATCTTATATTTCTTGATTTTATGGTGAAAGTGGGATGCGTGCGATTAAAGTATTTATAGGCATCTGCTTCTAACAGATGTGTAATAAAATCTTCTTGTGATATATGTTTATTATGCCATCTCATATATGCAGCTGATATCATAGATGTATATAACCATTATAGTATAGGAATTATGAGTAAGTAAAATATTCTAATAACTGGTACTTCTTTCAACTTTCTTTTTTGTGACAGATTTTGATTTAAATCTTAGTGTATTACAGTAATTGTATGTAATCTCTAATTGATCATTTTTATAGAATAATATGCATCCATTGACACAATAATCTATTTTTTATATATTAAACTAAGTTTGGAAATAAATTCTTAGTTCAATATAAATTTATAGGAATTATATTATCTACCGGGTCAATTTTCTTAAGCAGTCCAATGAATTGATTAAAATATTCATGGAGGACATTATATTCTTTCTTGATGCTTAACATCTTAAAATCAATGGATAACTCTGAGTGAGTTATGCACCCCTTCCATAAGTTGTTGAGAAGCATGCAATAAATCATAAAAATTTTGTGCCTCCTTATTAGGTGACTTTTATGTATATTATTTAAATTATGCTCCAGTTGCATTATGAACTAAGTCCTTAAGATCAAGTCAGATATTTTCTTCCTCAACTATAGTAAAACTTATCGATGGGCCCCATAGAGAATTAAAATGTGACTCATACTCATCATGAGAAGTTTAATACTAATATTCTTGCATGAAGCTTCTATGGTATAGATCAATAATTACGTCAGCTGGACTTAGGTGCACTTGAGTTTTACGTCATATGGGTATAGATCAACAATTACGTCATCCATAACAAAATAAATAAAAGCATACACATTTTACCGAAGGCAGTGAGCTTCTCTAACTAGAGGTGGCGAGTTTAGGCAACCGACTGTGGCGGATGGTACAAGTTCGATGGCAAACGTTGGCAAGGAACTAGTTGTGTTGGGAAAGCTCTCAGACACGAGTGAATCTAATCAAAATGAAGAGGAAAAGAAATAAGAGAAAGATGCCAGAGCGGTCAAAATAGGGCCCGTTCAATCATATTTTACAACAGATTGTCCTTCGGTCATATTAATGGTGGATAATATGCTGGTAATTATTCATCTAGTTTAAGTAAGCTGGTGCAATTTATACAGCTAATTTTGCTGGAAATAATAAAAAAAAAATTTGTCAAAGTTTTTAAACATCGACAAAAAATCAACGGAATATGCGTTGGTACTCTAACATCAGGAATTTCATTGGAAATATCGCCATTAAGTTATCAGCGCATATTCCACAGGTTTGCCTATTGCTTTTTCCGACGTATATTTATCCATAAAAAAGTCCAACGATAATGATAGATTTTCATGTAGTGCTCGAAGAGACATATCCAACGAGCCCAATATTGCTTAATTCCGACATCATTAATGCACATAAATGCTAAAAAAATTCTCTACGATGGGGGATCAGTATGGGTCATTCGATGGAGCAAGCCTGCCCCTAATCTTCTCCATATTTATAAATATACTACTCACAAAATTCTATAAATAGATCTCCACTATCTACATGAGGCAAACTTTTGTCTAGAGATTGGAGAGATCTATGAGGCTTGAAGCATTCTAGAGCTCACCCCCAAGTATCACCGTCAGCGAACTTCCATTCAACCACTATTGGACTACCTACCTGGCCACCAACTGTCGCCAGACTTCCTCCTGGACTTTGACCGCTGCTGACATGCTCCCGACCATCATCAGACTATCTCCCAACCGCCAACCATCACCGGACTTCCACACAATAGTCGACTGCTGCCGTACTTCTGTTAGACCATCGCCCAGCCACTGAACTTCACTGGACTTCAACCCGGCCGCTAATCACAGGCAGAGTTCCACCTAACCACCGGCAATCGACCACCGCCAGACTTCACCAAGCTATCGACTGCTACCATAATTCTACTCGACCATTGTCGAACCACTGTCCTGCCGCCAACTGCAGCCAAACTTCAACCCAGCTGCTGATTGTCGTTGAACTTTAGCCCGATAAACATCGGTCCATCGCCCGACCGCTGAACGTAGCCAAACTTCTACCTGGCCGCCGACTGTTGTCATACTTTTTCCCTCTTCAGGTTTTCACATAAATTTTTTTTGGTATTTTTTCCCTCTCTCTTCAGCTACATGTTTATGTGCTGGATATCAATGCACAGCCTAGATAAAAAATTCGCTTACTCTACCACTGTGAATATCATAGTCCGCAATAATCTTGACATTTATTTTTCTATAGTTTTGGATTTTTAGCATCTCAATATCATCACACACTAATAATATGTATTGAGAGATTATCAAAATAATCAATCTTTCTCTTAATGGGAACCTTTGATACCTTCTATATTTTATCATCAAACACTCTCCTCGCTAAACACTACATAATACTTCTTTATATAGAGTTTTGACATCTTATTATAATATGTAATGAGTAGATGTAGACCAAAGGAACAACCTTTCTCCATTTTCTATATGAATGTTAGAAGTTTAGGTTTGAAGACAATGATGTGTAGATTGAAATAGTTCTTGTGTGGTGGAGGCTACCAATAAACTTAACTCACAAGTTCGTCAGTGAGTCAAAGTCAAGCTGGCTTATGAGCTAGTTTGGCTCACCACCACTCTTAAAAAAATTAAATATACTAGCACCAAAGATAGCGAGCTTGTATAAGGTTGGGCTAGTAATGTTAAGGCAAGATTGTGGTGTTTGTACACCTAAATTTACTTTGGACTAGTCAAATGCTATCGACACAATGAATCAATCAACCTTCCAAAAGCATTTATTGCCACATCTAAGGATGACTAAGTGAACTCATCATCACTTAGAAAAACTTGTTGACCAATATCAAGTTATCTCGTGTTGTCCATGAATAAATTTACATTCAATGTGATCAATGATGTGTAGGTTATATGGTCCTTGTATTCAAAATTCTCATGATTAGGGAGAATTGTAAATTTGTCAAAAATGGGCATTCTGAGCATTATAAATCTCCTAAACAAATATTTTTCATTTGGTTCATTTCAACTTAAAAGCTAGAAAAATTAAATTTAATGTATGTTTTCTGACTATGCACTTCTAATACAGCTATATAATATCCTCTATCTATGAGACAAACCCTACATTTTCCTTCAATATTGATCCATATTAATATTATATTGAGTGCAATTATTTTAGTTAATAAAGTTTTTAAAAATTATTGCTAACATCTATGGCTGTAATTTATTTTTTTTGAACTGGGGTATCTACCCGCTGTCACTTGAAAAGGAGCGCTTGACGGCGTAACTAATTCATCGGCAGAACCTACTGTGGTCACTCACCGGAATCGGGTCCACACTTGCTTTGCCCCACTGAAGAGGCGAGGTTGTAGTAGAGGAGATTCTAACATGGGATGTGGGATTCCCAGTCGAGCTCGTCTATCAATCACCCTAAGCCTTAGTGGGTTCTGTGATTTACTTATCATTAACGTTCATATGTCATAAGTCTACCGATGAGATTCTTTCATGATAAACATGGACGACTGTGTTCCTATTGGCAACAAGTTTTGAGCGTGTCTTTCATAGTTTTTCTTTGACATTTAGTTTTGAGATTTTGTCGGGCAATGTTAATTTTAATAATATGTTAAGGTGAATGCTAACTCTAACCCTTGCAGTGATCCGCCCGATTCCTCCCAACAACCCTTGCGATCAATCATCAAATCACTCTTTCGCGAGAACGACGTAAACCAGCTCATCTCCAAATTCAAGCGCTTCTCCGCCGACCGCAACTTCCGCAGTAAGCCCGAAGTTTACGAGATCATTATACGGCGCCTTACCGCAGCTGGCCGGCTCGATGCAGTAAACGACATCATCGAGCACCACAAGAGCTATGAAGAAGAAATCTCTCACGAGGGATTTGCTGTACGCCTCATCTCTCTCTACGGCCTCGCTGGAATGCCCGAACGCGCAGCCGCACTTTTCCAAGAGCTCCCAGCGCTCGGCTGCCCTCGCACTGTCTTTTCCTTCAACGCTGTTCTCACCGCCTACACCCGGTCGAAGGTCGCCGATCGGATTGCCCACCTTCACAAGTTTCTTTCATCTCACGACGCCTCTATAGAGCCCAATCGTATCTCATACAACATTTTGATCAACGCTCTGTGTGAACGGGACCTCCTTGATGACGCTCTCAATACCCTGGACTTGATGGAACAGCGTGAGATTAAACCCGACTTGGTGACTTTCAACACTCTATTAAATGCCTTTTACAGCAAGGGTTTGATCCTCAAGGCTGATGAGATATGGCAAAGAATGACAGAGAATGGTATCCAGCCGGATGTGAGAAGCTTCAACGCAAAGATCAGAGCGTTTGCTTGGGAAGGAAAGATTCTGGAGGCAATGGAGGTTTTGGAAGAGCTCAGGAGAGTTGGACTGGAGCCTGATACTTTGACCTTCAATGCTCTAATTAAAGGGTATTGTCGACAAGGGAATTTGGAGGAGGCAAAGAGAATACACAAACAAATGGGGAAGAAAGGATGTTTTCCTGATAGGCATACTTTGAGGGAATTGATTCCCAAACTCTGTGGAGGTGGCGAGGTTGACTTGGCTCTTAATATATGCATAAAAGCCATAGAAAATGGATTCGTTGTGGATGTAGGCATTGTTCAGGTGATGATTGATGAGTTGGCGAAGGGCTCCCTGTATGACAAGGCTAAAAAACTTGTAAAGCTGGCAAAGTCAAAGAATAACAGAGCAAACCTGAGGATGCCTCTACCATGTTTGGCACTGTAGGTAAATTCACCAATACCCGGGCCTGTTTGTTATGCTCCATATTATATGTGATCTTCAATTTTTTTTTTTTTTTTCAGAATGTGCTGATCTTGTATTGCAGTTCATCATAAGGGCTTGTTTATTTTTGACTTGAAATCATATCATTGATCAATTTAAATCCAAGCAAGTCCAACTGAGATGTACATTATATTTTTTACCTGCAAATGGAACAACTTGTTATTTGTTCACTAAAATTATAGACATATCTATGTTTTTTGCAAGCCAACAACTATTGCTAATTTTCTCATAATTCACTTTTTGTTACTTTAATATCATTTTCGTTCTTTCTGATGCTAGTTTTTGTTCGAAAATGAAGTATGCTTTTGACTAAAGTGTTCTGAAATGTATGCAAATATCAACATAATCCGTCCCTTTAATGATCCAACTTGTTTTTGAAAAGAAAGGACAGTTACTATAAAGATGAAACCAAGTTGCCTAAAAGCCAGTAGCCCCAAACTTTTGGATTCCACAATCCATGCAATGCATCTCTATCCAAGGGCTCAGCATTTTTAAAGTATTTATCAAATTATTCCTTTTTTTTCCATATTAACAGCATTTTGGTATTTCGGATCATTTGTTGATGTAAAAGGAAGGATGATTTAATGTTAATTTGATGATGGCCTTTGACATTTTCTCCTAAGCTTTCATTTTTGCTACTTCTTTCTGTCGAATTGTTTTTTTTTTTTTGTGGTTTCCTTTATCAAGTCAACCCTTGGGATGTGAGTGAATCAGAAAAGGAATTTTTTTTTAAGAGAGGGGAAGCAACTGAGGGGCTCAATAAGGTGGGACTCCTGAGAGAAACATGTTTTTGACCTTGGGAATCATGCCTATGAGAATTTTTGAGATTATGAGAATCTTAGGATTTGTGTTTTCATATTGCCTTGTTAAGAAGAACCCTGTTAGAGAGAATAGGAGGAGAGAGAATGCAAGGGGAGTAGGGGTATAAATGAGTCGAGTCAAGCTCGAGTCAGAGGCTGTTCGAGCTCAACTCAAGAGTTAAATATTGAGCTCGAACTCGAGTCAAGCTTGAGCTCGACTCGAGACATTGTATCGAGCTCATCAAGCCGCTCGATTTCGCGCCCGCTGCGTCAGTTTTTGCTTGATTTTTGTTTTCCCTCCCGATTTTCGCACAGGTGGAACCCATAAACGAGGCGATGTGAAACTCTTTTGTAAGGGCTGCATCATTTATTAGATTTTTACACATCTTTTCTCCACGTTTTGCAATTGCGTGATCTCCACATCTTTTCACGTGGAACTCGAGCACGGCTGGAGCATTTATTGGCATTTATTAGCATTGATATGTGATACTTTTTTATATTATTAACTATGCAGCTATTTGTAGAAACACAAGGCCAAGAAGAGCAAGACGAGAGACAGGGAAGAAGACAAAGGTTAAAGGAAATAATATTGTATTATTCAAATCTTCAGTAGGTACATAGGTGAGTATATATAGATAGATAAAGTAAAGGCATGTACACGTGTAAATCACAGATAGGATAGAAATATGAACTGCCTTAGTTAATTACAAAGCTGCTGTACTAATAGCCCCCATCAAACAGAGTGTTCTTCCTGAACGGTCAGTTTGGATCTTAATTCCTTAAACCGTGGTGTAGATAGCGACTTTGTCAGAATGTCGGCGATTTGGTAGGTAGTTCCGATTGGGAGAAGACGAATAGCCTGATTTTGAATGTGATCGCGGACGAACCTGTGATCTATTTCAATGTGCTTAGTTCTTGCGTGAAACACCGGGTTGTGAGCAAGATCTATGGCGGACATGTTGTTGCAGAATAGATCGATTGGTAGGCTGTGTTGGATGAAGAAGTCGTTGAGTAATCTTTTAAGCCAGATGGTATCTGCGGTAGCGGCCGCAAGTGCCTTATACTCGGATTTCGTTGATGACCGGGCAACCGTGGACTGCTTTTTGACAGCCCATGAGATGAGCTTGTTGCCTAAGAAGGTGCAGTGACCGGTAGTGGACTTTCTTGTAGTTGGATCGCCTGCCCAGTCGGCGTCGGAGTAGGTAGACAGAGTGAGCGGTGCTTTGAGAATGGGTAGACCGAATTCTAGTGTCCCTTTGATGTAGCGTAACAATCTCTTAAGAAGGTAGACATGTTGTATAGAAGGGTCGTGCATATGTTGAGAGAGCACGTTGATGGCATATGCGATATTGGGACGGGTTAGAGTAAGATATTGTAATGATCCGATGATCCTTTGGTATGTGCTTGTTGCCGCAAGATTGGCGTCCTCAGGTACCTGATCTGGAAGTTTGGTGCATGAAGGATTAGAGAGAGGGTTACATTCAGCGAGATTGACTGATTTTAAAATCGATACAGCGTAAGATGATTGAGACAAGAAGTACTTATCTGTTAGCTTTTGAATTTTGATTCCAAGGAAGTGATGAGCTGGTCCTAGGTTCTTCATGTTGAAGTTCGAATGCATCTTGGACAGCACTTTTGTAATGGCTTCCTTGTTGTTGCTGGTGACGAGAATGTCGTCGACGTAGACGAGTAGAAAGATGTAAGTCTGATTTTGTTGAAGAGTTAAAAGAGATGGGTCTGCTTTGCTGTACTGGAATCCGAGCGTGATCAGATAATTTGTGAAGGTCGTGTACCACTGGCGCGGCGCCTGTCTTAGACCATAGATAGATTTTCGAAGCCAACAAACGTGATTCGGATGGTAGTTGTCGGTGAAGCCTCTCGGCTGAGCCATGTAGACCGTGTCTGTAAGTTGGCCGTGGAGAAACGCGTTGGAGACGTCCAACTGTTGCACCGGCCATCCTTGGGATAGAGCAATAGTGAATAAGACTCTGATGGTGGGGAGCTTTGCCACCGGACTAAACGTCTTGCCGTAGTCTATACCGTATTCTTGCTGGTTGCCCTGAGCTACTAGACGGGCCTTAAATCTTGCTATCGAGCCATCTGAGTTAAATTTCTTGCGAAAAGTCCATTTACATCCTAGAATGGGTGCCTTGGGAGGAGGTGGGACAAGGCACCATGTGCCCTGCTGCTGAAGGGCTATGAACTCTTCTGCCATTGCCTGTCGCCATTCTGGATGTTTACTTGCTTCCATATAACTGGTGGGATCGGGGTCGGATGTTGGGTAGCTAGTGGTGAGAAGATTGAGATGTCTGGAAGGTTTTAAGGAGCCCGTTTGCATCCTTGTAATCATGGGATGTTTGGGTGCTAGTACAGTCGGTTGTGGACTGTCTGCAGGAGTGGGAAGATCTACCGAATTGAAGTGACTGGAGGAGTTGTTCTGTAGTGTCGTGCAGCTTGGTGTTTCTTGAATGGGTTGCGATCGCTTTGGGGAAGGTGGTCGGATTTCCGAGGATTTGGACACGAGTAGAAGCATGGAAGGGGGGATATCCTTTACTGTGAGCTGCGGGGAAACAATAGTTTTGTTAAATGGGAAGGAGTCCTCAATAAAAATAACATGACGGGAGATGAATAGTTTGTTTGATTCCCTGTTTAGGCATTTGTAACCCTTGTGAGTGTTGGAGTATCCCATGAAGACAAAAGAGCTGGACTTTGGTTCGAGTTTTGTACGTGTGTGCTTGGGTAGCAGGGGAAAGCACTCACAACCAAATGTCCGTAGGTGCGTATAATCGGGTGTGGTATGGAATAGTAGTTGCAGTGGAGACTTGTTGAAGGTGTTGGGAGAGGGCATCCGGTTGATCAGGTAAACCGCCGTGGAGCTGGCTTCGAGCCAGTAGTGCAATGGAATAGATGCTTTGTGAATGAGGGATCAAGTTGTCTCCAGAATGTGACTGTTTTTACGTTCCGCCGCCCCGTTTTGTTCCGGGGTGTAAGGACATGAGGATTGATGCTGAATTTCTTTGGAATGAAGAAATGTTTGCATCTGTTGATTAACGAACTCAGTGCCACCGTCAGTCCTAATAGCTTTGATCTTGCAATTTGTTTGATTTTCAATGAACTTAGTAAATTGCGTAAAAACAGTAATAACACCATATTTGTGTAAGATCGGAAAGATCCAAGTAAATAGGGAGAAATCGTCTACAAAAATAACAAAGAATCGATAGCCCTGAGTAGAGGTAACTGGTGCCGGTCCCCATACGTCAGAGTGTAGAAGTTCAAGAGGATGTTGTCTTCTTGATTTAGAAGATTCAAACGGTATTTTGTGACTTTTACATTGAATACACGTAATGCAAGGAAAAGAAGAATGCGGAATTTGTAAACTGGGATTGCTGTGAGCAATGCTTTGCATAACCCGTAGATGAGGGTGTCCGAGTCAATCATGCCACTTCGAGGTCTGTTTCTTGGACGCCTGAAGAGCGGATGTGTGGTTATTTGTTGTTTCCTTTGGTGAGATTTTGTATAGCCCGGCGCTACATGGACCGCAAAGAAGCTGCTGATTTGTCGTCAGATCCTTAAACACGAAACCCATAGGGTCAAATGTAACTGAAATATTGTTATCTTTAACAAGATGAGAAATAGATATAAGATTGTGTGAGATAGCAGGAACGTGGAGTAAGTTGGATAAGTGAAGCTTACGATTCGGGGTTGGAAGAATACCCGTGCCCGAGTGAGCAATGGGAATGTTTCTTCCGTCCCCGATGAAGACTCCTTCGGATCCTGGATATGGAGTGGTTTGGTTGAGATTGTCGGCCGCATTGGTCATGTGCGAGGAGGCCCCAGAGTCTAGATACTAGTCGCAGGATGGTGCATCAGAGTTTGCCACGAGAGCATTGTTCTGTTTAAGATTGTTCGTTTGCGGGTTATAGTTGGCATTCATACGATGCCAACAGACATCGGCCGTATGGCCTTTCTTGGCGCAAATCTGGCATGTGGTTGCCTGTTGTTGCTGTTGTCCCGATCGGCCATTAGAGGTTTGAGTTTGCGTAGAACGACCCCTGGTTCGTCGACCGCGACCCCTGTTAGCGTACAGGGCAGCCTGCTGAATAGGGTCATTGGAACTGCGAGCTGCGTCGGCGTTGATGTGAATTTCTTCACTGATGAGCAATGCGTACAGGTTTTCAAGTTGGATTTGCGTAGGCGAGTTGCGAATATACGTCTTGAACGATTGATACGCATGAGGCAGGCCGTTCAAGATGTATAGTATTATGTCTTTGGAGTCTATGGTGGAATCGGCGGAGGCAATCTGAT